ATTCCGCACATAGCACCTCCAAGTCCTCAACATGTTCATGTCAATGGGCCCGCCGCTCTCAGACCCAGGCCTGGACTGTGATTACAGGCAGCCGAATCGAATTCCAGACCACATCACTTGAATTCAACCACTTTGATCTGGTTGATGATGGAGAACGGCCAGCATACAACGGTAAGAGTGCATTGGAAATGCGAGATCAGTAGATTTAGTTCTGTGAACTTTATCATCAGGGCCTGTGCCGAAGGGAGTCTACCATGGGCCCAATCCCTTGCGGGACATTGCAAAGGGCCGCCGGATGTATACAAGCTTCATTAAACCTTGGGGTGACGACGTCTCTGGCAACCGCAGCAAGCAATATAATGCCCATACCAACATTTACTTCTCGCATGCGAACCTCCCGCACGACAAGCAGAGTCAAGAATATTTCGTTCGGTTTTGTTCCACCTCTCCAAACACCACAGCTGGCGAGCAGTTTGATGTGCTCATTAAAGAAACCACGTTGCGCTCAATCCCCATTTGCTTGCTCGGTTCAATGAACACTAATATGTCACGGAACAGGGGCCCGAACACCTGGCATACGGCATATGACTGCCACGCTCAAGACGAGATCCTCTTCCGTGTGATCCCCCTGAATTTCCCTGCGGATAATCCACAGCAATCCGAATCTTGTTCTCATGTCGGCTTACATGGTAATTTCTGGTGTCGTAGATGTAAACTCGGTGGAACTGAACGAGACCGCGAGACGGATGATCTCTACCACCAGCACTTCTCGGTACGTATACACGTGAATCATAATAAGGGCCCAGCGTAGTTGACATTTCCGGCCTTTGATAGGGTGGACCTCCCCGAACAGCAACCGAAACTGTCACCGAAGTCACTCGTCAGATCGAAACTGCCGCTCTCGGAGTTGCAAAGTCTGTTGCGTCACTCCAGACATTATCTGGTGTCAAAGACAAATTGGCAGAGCATTGGATCCAAGAACTCATCAGTCGCGCGCGCGAGATGCAGCGTGTCCGCATCACTTCTGTCGAAACACGCGACCCACGCCTGAAAGCATTGAAGAACGAGGCTCGGGAACAAGTTGTCCTGACAATCAAGGAGGAGATTGCACAGGAGCTCTTGCAGTGGCTTGTCACTCAACCGCAAGAGAGTTATGACGAACTCCCCACGGATTCACGTGAGTTCGTTTCACACATCTATGGCTATATTGACAATTTGACGTGTGCTGCAGCTCTTCGTTCCGACCTGCGTCCCGGTGTCCATTTCAATGCGCTTCTGCAGCTTCTATGTAAGCCCAGACACATCCATCACTGATCTCCTCTGTGCTCATCTGTGTCGTGAAAGGTGGAGACATACATGCTGATTCCCCAGTTGAAATTCTGCACACAATCTTGTTGGGACTCATCAAGTACGTATGGTTTCATACCAATTCACCGTGGAAAGACAAGCAATGCGAAACGTTTGCGGTTCGCTTGCAATCATCTTCAATTGACGGCCTTTCCATACCGCCACTCCGTGCTTCGTACATGTTACAATACCGAAACAACTTAATCGGTAAACATTTCAAGGCCATTCAGCAGTTAGCAATATTTCATCTCGATGATGGGATATGCCCGCGACTGGTCCGAGACCTCTGGAAGGCCAACGGCGAGCTTGGTGCTCTCTTATGGTACCACGAAATCGAAGACATGGACACCTATTTAGTGAGTGCATTGTCTTGTCTTCGCCTCCAAGACTAACGAACACGGCCAGGCTGACCTCGACATTCTAATCGGCAATGTATTGGATATCTGGTCGTTGATCGACCCCCGCAAGATCTTCGTTAAGCCTAAACTCCACATTCTCCCTCATATCTTACAAGATATCCCTCGTCATGGGCCCCCAATCTTGTACGCGACTGAGATTTTCGAGTGCTACAACGCAGTCTTCCGTATGTGTAGTGTCCTCTCCAATCACCAGGCCCCAAGCCGGGACATCGCATGGACGTTTGCAGACCTCGAACGGTTCAAACACGAGGTCAGCGGTGGCTGGTGGCGAGGTCAAGACGACCAATTTGTCCGCGCGGGCCCTCGTGTACGCGAGTACTTCTCGAACCTCCAGGTCCAACGCCGTCTAGGATATGTCAAGGCTGACCATCAGGCCGCAGGTATGTTTCCGAGATTCCTAGATAGTACTGTTCAGATCATGTACAGACTCACAAACCTTGATCCAGGTACTGTTCATATGCGAAAGAAAGGACGTGTCTCAGTCGTGTGGAGCTCGCTGCAGCTTCACACCTCGCCCATGTGTCCTTCCATCCCAGATCTCTCAGAATGGTACCAATGCGAATACATCGTGTCTCAGGCACACGATCGGTGCAAATTGAAATCATGGGTTTTTGTACGCCACGCTGTATGTCTCCCCGAGTTCACATTCACTGCAGACTGATCCGTCAACTATTTAACAGGGTGAGACTCGCGTTGGGCGTATCCACACAATATTGTCACCCGTGGGAGGTACGGATAGGAACGACATACAGCCATGTGTCATCATCGAACCCTTTGACCTGACGAACAGCCGACATCCGCACTTTGGCATGCCCGAACTCATAAATGCTGCGGCGCCGAGAGTCGCGCACCTCGTCATTCTTGCGACGGTACGATTTAACCCCCTTAGACCTCTGTCACACTCACTCTGCTGCAGGACATCCTATTCATCGTCAACGTGCAGCATAATTGCATTGACGGCAGGTGTTCTGCCAGTGGACGGCGCATGCGCAAGCAAGAGCGCCTGGAGACCGAGATCAGCCAACCTTTCATTGAACACACGAACGATACTCACTATGTTCTCAATACACATGCCCTCCACAATGCCGCTCTCATCCGTAAGACATTACCTCGACATCTGACAGAGCCACACCATTATCTCGATGATCGTCGCGCTCAGCATGACAAGATGGCGGCTTTGCTACGCACATCGCAGGACTCCAAACGGTCGAAAGAGGCCGACGCCCGCAAAGCGCGGAGTGCGGCCAAGAACACGGCGAAGGAGGTTGGGGACGTGGCGGAAGGCCCAAGGCCATCAAAAACGGACGCTGGTGGCGGCGAAGGAGACGCTATGGAGATTGACAGGGCAGGTTTAGCGCAGTCAATGGAAGTGGTGTAAACATGTTGCGGGAAATGTAGAACATACCGCAAATGATCTACGCGCACTATTGATTGCGGGGGATGCTGAGATCACGCGGTATGCGCATCAAATGTCACACTGTCGCTCACCGTGGACGCAGCTGGCATCGGGCTGGAGACAGGGTGGACGGCGCCATATGGGAGCCAGTGGGACAACATCTCGTGTCTAGCTGGCTGTGCCACATGGCTACCAGCCGGCCCGGCCATCTGGAGATCGCGTGGGGCAGGAATGGCGGTGTAACCAGTGCACGCTGAACGCTGACTCACGCCAGCCAATCGCACGTCTTCCCGGCACGTTCAGCCAATTGCAGGTGTCGGATTACGCGACCTCTACCGTGACCCGTGATCTAAGCGGGCGTCTATCTCATTGCTTTTCATCCTGGTTTCAGCCACTCCATTCTCCCTCATCCGCCCAACCATCCCCTCCGACGTTTTGTTCCAGACCAACACCCTTCATATATTCACCAACCTCACCCGGGTTAGAGTTCACACCGCGAATACGTACCATGTCCCCAGAACAGACACCTGCACCATCTGTAGCTCTCCCGCCCCGCTCCACAGCAGAAGCTACTGCGAGCAAGAAGCCACCTGTCTGGTCCCTAACTGCATCTGCAACCCAAACTCAGCCGCCTCTTCCCGCAAAATGCGACAGACATATCACAGGGAGAGAGGGTGTCTGCTGTAAAGAGCTCAAGGGCGAGGATGAGCGGACCCTTGTGGATCCGGATGTGGTCAGGGACGTGTGAGTATGTCTTTCTCTACTGTGGCACATCCATATACGTTGTTCCCGTCATCCGCGGCTTATACCCATGTTCCGCAGTGTGATAGGCCTTTCGGACGGTCTTACCGTCCCGTTCGCCCTCGCCGCGGGGCTGTCCTCCCTCGGCGAGTCGAAGCTCGTCATCGTCGGCGGCATCGCCGAGCTCATCGCGGGCGCACTCTCCATGGGCATTGGAGGCTTCCTCGCCTCCCAGGCCGAGCGCGACCACTACCGCTACCTGCGCAAGACGACGTCCGCGCGCGTCTTGCGCAGCTGCGAGGGTGAAATGGAGCGCGAGGTGCATGCAGTCCTGGGCCCCGTCGGCGTCGATGAGAAGACGTGCAGCATGGTTGCGCAGTGTCTCCGCGATGTCGAAGTCAACACTGCGGACGAGCGCGAGCCCGGCGGCGAGGCGTCCAGTGCGCGCAGTATCAGCACGGACACCGAGTCGGGGCTGCGGTGGAGCAAGAGCGTCGGGCTGTCTGCATTCCTGCTCAAGTTTGGCGAGGGTCTCGAAGAGGTGCCCACACGTCGCCTGTACATCTCCGCATTCACTATCGGCATGGGGTACTTCCTCGGTGGCCTCATTCCCTTGCTTCCATACTTCTTCGGTGGGTTGGAAGCTTCGCTTGTACCTTTTGGGGATCGTTGACGTCTAATTTCGTCTGCAGAGCCCGTCGCGCACAAGGCACTGGTGTGGTCGTGCGTCGTCACCGGCATCATACTCCTTATTTTCGGTGCTGTAAAAGCGCGCGTAACGGGCGCGGCCGGTCGTGGCATCGGTGGATACGTGTATGGGGCCGTGAGCACGCTGCTTGTGGGTGGCGCCGCGGCGGCGGCGGCGTACGGGCTGGTGGCCGCGTTGGAGTCATGACATTGACATTGACTCCTCCGTTTCGAGTATAGATAGCATGCTAGCTTCGGCTTCGGCATGCGGTGGCATTTGTATCATTTCATAGTGTAGCTTACCTTACTGGGCACAAGCCTGATAGCGACTCATGGCTCGCGGTTTGCAAGTCGGGTCTGAGGATGTCGGGCATGAGACCTGCAAAGTCACCCGCATCAATTCCATCATTGGGCATTTGGCACAGTGGTAGCGCGCACGCTTCGCATTAGTACTGTATTGCCTGCGTGAGGTCCAGGGTTCAATCCCCTGAATGTCCACTATATGTCCGTTACAGAGGCACTTCGCAAATGGTATGTTATTTTTCTGTTTCATTTTCGCTCAATACTACATGGTAGTCTCGGTGACATTTTCAGACCATCGACAGCGCTCACGATCACGGAAAAGTATCTGCACCACTTGAAGTTGCCCGCATCCGCGTCTGACCGACATACAACACTGCGGGGTTTTTCCGTTTACAGAACGACTGACCGGTGAGACTTGCAATACGCTGAGTCGGTCGGAACATTGTTCAAATTAAGTGACAGAACCCGGTCAACCTTCTGGATTCCAGCAACGGGCTGTGAGCGGTAGAGACGTCTAGAAGAACGAGCATGAGATAGACGAGCGTGGTGTATATATCCGACATGTCTGCAGGTTCGCCCGGTGATTTGTATGGCCAGCTACTATCGGGTGATGAGATCGTACGTGCCACTAGCAGGTGGTCCATACGTACAGATACTTAGTATTAGTATTACTTACCCGTTGGTCACTTGGCCCGCCGCGGACCTCAACGTTGCCCACCCCCGGCCCGCCTCGCACGTGACGGTGCACATCGCGCTCCCGTGATGGTGGATCGAAGACCAAGACGTCGACCCGTCCGACCTCCCCCCCGCGCGCATAAAAGCACTCGGGTTGAGGCATGCCGCTCCCCGCGCCTCTGATCCAGACCGCATGTCCCTTGGCAGAATGTTCCGCTCGCTCTGTGCACTCTTGACGGCGGGCCTCCTGTTGGCCAGCCTGGCGGAGGCTGCTTCGAAGACCTGCTCAATCACGCCCCTTGGTGCTGGCAAGGACGACACTGATCAGGTACAGGATGCAGGCTTTGGTGTCGCCAGACGGGCCCTGATGCGTGAATGCATTGCAGATCGATGCCGCCATCAAGACGTGCGGCCATGGTGGTACTACCACTTTTGCGGCGGGCGAGTACAACGTGACCAGGTGAGAGAGTACTCCCGCTGGATGAGAAGAGCAGCCACTCACTGCGGTGCATGCAGGAAGTTGTGGTGGGACCTCAAGGACGCCAAAGTCGACCTACACGGCTATCTGAACGCAAGTGCACCACATACTGGCCCGTCACGTCGGCTCACCCGCTCTGATTCAGTTCAAAGCTGATCTCCCGTACTGGATGAAGCCCGAAAACACGTACCAGGTGATAAACATCCAGGTGCGCCCGATCGCTACTGCGAAGCCCGACGCCCCTACAGCGCACCACGTCAGAGCCAAGCCTCGTGGTTCGTCATCAGAGGCAGCGACTTCGTCGTCGATGCGCACAACACGGGCGGCATCATCGGGAACGGGCAGTACTGGTGGTCGTGGTACGGAAATGCCACGCGCGACGACGGCGACGGGCGCCCGGTCGCGCTGAGCCTGTCCAAGGTCGAGCGGGCCAAGATTGCGAACTTCCGCATAGACCACCCGCCGTTCTGGTGCAACGCGGTCGCGGACTCGAAGGACGTGGTCTACGACGGCATGTGGGCGAACTCGTCGAACTCGGACCCGCTGTACTTCAATCAAAAGTACGCGCTTGCCAATGACGGACTGACCTGCTGGACTGATGTGCCTTCCTAGCATTGTGTGGAATACGGACGGTACGCGTTGCCGTCTATGGGCAATGATCGCGGCTGATGTCGCTCTGCAGGTATCGATACGTACCGTTCTGACAACATCACTCTCACGAATTGGGACGTGCGTAGCACCCCGACTGCTCTGTCGGCGTCGACTCGGCAGAGTACTAACCTTGAGCTTGCTGCACAGATCACGCTGGGGGACGACTGCATAGCGATCAAAGGGGTGGGTGTCTGACAGTGCGCTCGCGAATTGGCTCACATTGTCCCTCGTAGAACTCGACGAACATCTACGCCCAAAATATCACCTGCACTGGCGGGACAGGGATCGCATTTGGGTCGCTAGGGCAGTACTACCAATTCGTAGGTGATGACATTCCCTGCGAAAGCGAAAGTTGACGTTCACCACGACAGCCGGACAACGTGCACAACGTGACCCTGGAAGACATCACGGTCAGTCAACCATTGATCTAGAGGGAGATGTAGTGACGTCGGCTTGTATAGCTGGTGCGACCAGACCCCGTCATTCAACCGTACATGAGAAACGCGGTCAGTGGATAGCCGTATAATCAAAAGAGATGCTGTGCTGACCATCTCGAAGATCTACTTCAAGTCATGGACGGGCACGACAATCGGATTCCCTCCAATTCAGGGAGGCGGAGGCACGGGTGAGTGTATCGCACATTTCGCAAGACACCCGTATAACACTGGACAGGCCTCGTGTCGGGCGTCGTCGCACGCAACTTTGTGCTAGACAATGTCACGAATCCGATCCAGCTCTACCAGACCAACCTGGGACACCCGTGCGTGGATTCGTGCGCATCAAAATACAGATCGACTAGATGTTGATTGCACTTACAGTGGTGACGAGCCGTCGCGTCTGCAATTCCGTGATATTTCGTTCGTGAACTTTACAGGGACTGCAGCGACAGACCTGTGTCAGTGCTGTTTAGTGTGGATGACAAGGCGAGCACGAGTGCTGATGCGCCTTTCGCAGTGGTCGACATCGAGTGCAGTCCAGCAGCGCCGTGCCCGAATCTGACGTTCACGGACATCAACATCGTGCCGCCGAACGGCACAACTCCGGCGTACAACTGCTACAACGTTGTCGGGTCAAAACTGCAAGGACTGTCTGCCGGTAAGCTGTCGAATGCCTGCTTCGCTGGCTCACCACTGACAATGCGGCTAGCATGCAACACGAGCGCACCGACAGCATGAAAGACGCATTGCGGTTTCTGAGAATCATCTGGATACGCCGTCGAGGGTAGGTGCTGTGCGGAGTGATGAGATATATCAATGATACTTGGGTTGTAGTCTCGCGAGTCAATATCTGCTGTTCATTATAATGGCAGTTGCCATCGTCGTACATTGTGACTGCCGAGCGTCGGGAGCGGTTCCTTTGGAAAGAAACATAGTGTACGGACGATAGGAGGTGGATTCTGTTGGAAAGAAAAGGGAGAAAGAAAGGCCATCTCCATGGCAGGTATCGCGGTGGAAATGGGCTCTCGACCAAGTGCGCAGCGGGGGGGAAATTAGAGGCACCATGGCAACGCAGGCGACGGACTGTCAGCATATCGGCGCGGTCGAGAATCAAAAGGATAGTGATGCCCCTTGCCGTGCACCGCCCGCCCTCCTTTATCCTTTGCCCTTGCTTTTCTTTCGATTTTTGTCGCTGCCCTTCTCCAGGCCGGTCCTCACTCATTCATTGCACGCAGCGCAGGGCGTCCACTACGTTACGATTACCAGCTATGGCCTCTAACTGGAAGCGTGCCTCTGACTTCGACTTCTCGGACGGGAAAAGACCTCTCGACGAGCACCCGGACCTCCGTAATCCTTACGATGGCAATGCCACCCACCTAGAGCGCAACAAGTCCGAGCGCAGGCGGCTGCAGGGCCTGCAGAGGTCTGCCACCAATACTGGCTCTGCCCCTGCCCCGAAGTCCGACTCTTGGGGGGCGAGGTTCGGTGTTTGGATGATCAACGAGGGTGGAAAGAGGATGTTCTTCTACATCTTCATTTTCCTTCACATGGTGGTCATTGCCTACGGTTTCCTCAACTACGACTTGAAGGACTCCTTCGTTGGTGCCCGCGCCACTTTTGGCATTACTTACCGTGAGTCTCCTAGCAACCGTATAGCAGCAACATGCACGACTCTGACTTTGTATCGGCGGACGTGTAGCCATCGCCCGTACTGCCGCCCTGGTCCTACACGTTGACGTCGCATTCATCCTGTTGCCCGTCTGCCGCAACTTCATCTCGCTCATTCGCCGCACGCCCCTTAACCACTTCATACCGTTCGACAAGAACATCACATTCCATAAGGCGACGGCATGGTCGATCGTGCTTTTCAGCGCCATACATATCGGCGCCCACATGGTCAACTTCTACAGGTTCGCGATGGCCGATTACGATGCCACCACGACCGGCGAGCGTTTTGTCGCATTCCTTCTTGCGAACTTCACGACTGGCCCTGGTATCACTGGCTGGGTCATGACTGCTGCCCTCGCCATCATGGTATTCTTCGCCTTGGAGAAGCGTCGCCGTGCCCACTTCGAGTGGTTCTGGTACAGTCACCACCTGTTCCTCATCTTCTTCCTGGGCTGGCAGCTGCACGGCATGTTCTGTATGATCCAGCCGGACAGACAGCCGTTCTGTGACTGGAATACTATTGGTACCTTCTGGGTAGGTGTCGGCACTTGCCATTCGTGCGCCGTTGCATTAATGTTGCATCGTGTAGCGGTACTGGCTGGTCGGCGGTTGCACCTATACCTATGAGCGCATTCTTCGCGAAGTTCGGTCCCGCCACCGGACGTTCATTTCGAAGGTCATTCAACACCCGTCGAACGTCATGGAGATCCAGATCAAGAAAGAGAAGACCACGACCCAGGCTGGGCAATATATTTTCCTCAGCTGCCCCGAAGTCTCGTACTTCCAGTGGCACCCATTTACGCTCACTAGGTGAGCAAGCTTCTAACGTGCTTTCGTCTCACGTCACAGCGCTGATCGTAATCGCATAGTGCCCCTGAGGAAGACTATATCTCGGTCCACATCCGAGTTGCGGGTGACTTCACACGCGCGTTCGCTGAGGCCGTCGGGTGCGACTTCGACTCGAAGCGCAAGGGCGGTCCGAAGGAGGGCGGCGGAAAGGTCATCGGCACCGCCGCAAACCCTCCCGTCAACCGTGTCCTCCCCCGCGTCATGGTTGACGGGCCTTTCGGCAGTGCCAGTGAGGATTTCCTGAATTACGAGACGGTCCTGCTCGTTGGCGCGGGTATCGGTGTTACACCCTTCGCTTCGTACGTCGCTTCGTGACAGCACATTTCTCCGAGTTTTCTTATGATCTTCTCAGGATCCTGAAGTCGATCTGGTACCGTATGAACAACTTCAACTCGTCGAAGCCCACCCGGCTCTCCAAAGTAGGTAGACCCGAGCTA